GCAGCACTTTGTGAACCTCCATGTGCAGATTTCGTGGCAGGCACAGCACTTTGTGAACCTCCACGTGTAGATTTCGTGGCAGGCGCAGCACTTTGTCAACCTCCATGTGCAGATTTCGTGGCAGGCACAGCACTTGGTGAACCTCCACGCGCAGATTTCGTGGCAGGCACAGCACTTTGTGAACCTCCATGCGCAGATTTCGTGGCAGGCACAGCACCTTGTGAACCTCCATGTGCATCCGTGGAGCTGGAAGCTGAGAACTGGCGACTTTGTAGTGCAACTTTAGTACGTGGAGTATCTGCGGAGCTGGAAGATGAGAACTGGCGACTTTGTAGTACAACTTTAGTACGCAGAGCAATCTGTGGAGCTGGAAGCTGAGAACCGGCGACTTTGTAGCACAACTTTAGTCCGCGGAGTATCTGGGGAGCTGGAAGATGAGAACTGGCGACTTTCTAGTACAAATTTAGTACGCGGAGCAATCTGTGGAGCTGGAAGCTGAGAACTGGCGACTTTGTAGTACAACTTTAGTACGCGGAGCAATCTGGGGAGCTGGAAGCTGAGAACTGGCGACTTTGTAGTACAACTTTAGTGCGCGGAGTATCTGGGGAGCTGGAAGATGAGAACTGGCGACTTTCTAGTACAACTTTAGTACGCGGAGAAGCTGAGAACTGGCGACTTTGTAGTACAACTTTAGTAGGCGGAGCAATCTGTGGAGCTGAGAACTGGCGACTTTGTAATACAACTTTAGTACGCGGAGTATCTGGGGAGCTGGAAGATGAGAACTGGCGACTTTGTAGGTACAACTTTAGTGCGCGGAGCAATCTGGGGAGCTGGAAGCTGAGAACTGGCGACTTTGTAGTGCAACTTTAGTACGCGGCTGAGTCATCTCTCGCGGCTGCTCTGGCGCCCCTGCAGCTGAGTCATGTCTCCCGACCACCCGGCTCTCTTGAGAGGTTGACAAATTTTAGCTACTTTGCTCACTCAAAAGTGGTCATTTCGATTACTTTCTGGAGACCTCAAAACACGTGTTTTGAGAGGTTGGCAAATTTGAGCTAATTGGCTTCGTGTCTAGACAAGCTATCACATCATAGTTAACGTCTAGCTCCAGTTAGCTTTAGTGGATCTAGAGCTAATGTTGACCTTTGATTTATAAACGACCCTAGAATAATGTCACTTTTTTTCCTGCACAGATTTATAAAGGCCCCCAGAATAATGTCTTTTTTTTTGGGAGGGGTAGTTGTAGTGGGATATTTTTTACTTTTCCTAAGCTCTTTAGTTGTGAAGCTTTCCTAAAGTTTCCAAAAGTCAGTGCGCACTTTCTTTATAAAATCCCTTATTCAAAAGTATTGAAAAACAAAAAAATCAATCAAGCAAAGGGGGTAGTCCAGCAAGCAGCTTTCTGACATTATTTAGGGGGGGGCCCCTAGAATAATGTCTGGAGATTTGAGGCTTTAAATATGGGTTTCCTTTTCTTTGCCTTTTGATTTGCTTTACTCACCCTCTATTCCTTATTTACTTTTCCTAAGCTCTTTAGTTGTGAAGCTTGCCAAAAGTTGAAGATTTCCATTGAGATTTGATGCTTTCCATTGAAATTTAAAAAGTTAGTTCTTTGTCCATTGATTCATTCCCTTTTATTCTAATTAATATTCCAGATGTCTTCAAAGTTAGGTTTCTTAAGTCCTTTTATTTTATTATTGCCAGAGTAGCTCCAGAGGTAGCTAGCTAAGGATTCCTTATTTAATTACCAATTGATTGAGTTTCTTATATATTATATTGGAGGCCTTGGTTGTTGAGAGGGGGGGGAGTTTATAAATCAAGAGTCAACATTAGAGTGCTCTGGCTCTGGTTGCTTTGCTTTCGCTCCATTGGTCGGTTCCAACTTGTTTTGTCAAAGAGCATCGCAGCTCGGCGAATCAGCCTGCCACATGCCCATTTCCTATAGGTTTATTCTTTTGGAAACTTCCGCCGCTGGCTTGCCCGGGAAGTACTTGTATAGTATGTGGCATATTAGTGTTTTCTCCCGCCGCGTTTACTTAAGACAGTGACACATGTGTGAAAAACACCACGTTCTTAACGTGTTTATGTCATTGTCTTAAACGAAGACAACTGGAGTGAGCGGAAATTGTCCAGGATTCCAACTTCTAAGTTCCTTCGACATTCCGAACGTGAACATCCCAACCCACCCAACTCTCAGTCAGTCGCATTGTGTAGCGTAGCGTAAGAAGAGTTTCTATTGTATGGGTGTGCACCAAGAAATGTATTGGTCCAGCTTCTGGAGAACCGTGCGAGGCTGATAATAAACCAGTGGGGGATGTACAGGATGCCAATTAATTGCCTGTACACAGCGACGCAAACCCTCGGAATGGTGGAACCGTTCTGAAGTCCCAATTACAATGTGTTTTATATCAAACGACAAAAACAGGCATGAAAAAAACGCGTATGTGTCGCACAACATTCTCCAAAAACGAAACTATTCAAAAAGCACAGAAATTACATATAAAAGTACGCGTGAGCTAAAGAAGGTTCCTTGTCTTAAACAAACCCGTCTGGGTGTGTAATATATATATATAGATAATTACATTTATTGATTCATTTTTGGTTTGTGTTTTTACAACATATTCATTTAACTGCCTAAAACGATCTAAAACGCATCATACGCAGTCGCAGTTTTTCTTTCACAACGCCTTGTGCTCAACCACAATGAATCACTACAAAAACCACATTCGACCATGTTTTCCTCTCCCTCTTGTGTGTTTTTCCAAGAATCGCGTGCTCGAATTGATGCAATTCCTTGATGTTTCAAACTCATGGAAGAGGCTCTATCATAGAATGGACATCAAAGGGAGGGTGAAGGTGGGTATTAGTCCAAGACCATCGTTTTTCCCATGGTTTTGAGATTTGACATGTTTTGTTTGTTTCATTCTATCTACTTGAGGAGGACCCTAGGCCCTCTTGCTCACGTCAGCTGCTCAGATCGCAAGTACCGCGGGAAGTACTGTGATCGGGCATGATCGGGCAAAGCTACGGAGTGGTGGTTTCCTGGAGCTGTTTCGCCGGGTGTTCGAAGCGGTCTGCCCAGAAACTGGACGGTGAAAGGCTGGCATAAAATAGGAGGTATCATGGGCAGGTTGCTTTAGTGATTTATGAGCTATGTATCCTTTTTTCAGGTAGGGTCTCCCTGAACCAAAGCAAACACATTTCACCTTGGACGTTTTGGGGGAAGGCTTTCACATCACTCCCCCTCGCAGGAATTGGTGGCCCTCGTGGTGAAGGGGATGACCGGAAGCTCAATGGCCTCCAACCTACGACCGCGATGGCCTCAAACCGATAGGCGATGGCCTCCAACGTAATTGCAATGGCCTCCAACCTCCAACCTACGACCGCGATGGCCTACTGGCAATTTGACACCCAACCGGTGTTGCACCCGTTCGCAATCCCCTCTTGAAGATTCCCAGCGCCATGCTCCTTGCAGCGGCCCAACATGTCAGAGATAGGTACCGGGATCTGCCACGAAGGAGGAGGAAAAGGAGAACGAGGAGGGCCGAGCGTGGATTGGGAAATCGTGAGGTCTGAGTGCATTCTTCAATCCATTTGATTCAACAAAAGATCAGGCAGATGAAGTCTTTTACCCAATTAGAGATGCTTTGGTCTCTTCCCACAAAAACGGCCAGTACACCTATTGAACCTGACCATCTTCTGCCATACGTTTGACCCAAAAGAGGCGACAGAAACCGATCCTGCCGAAGCTCCGACAGCTCCGAAAGCAGATGCCACAGCTGACACCATGCTCCTGCCGTCCGCTTCACGGCGCGCCGCCGCCGACATGACGTTGGAAGATCTGCAGACTAGCAAGGGCATCGTTTAGGGAGCATCGCTAGGCTACAAAGCTGAAGAGCTTCGGAATCGTTTCACTGGCAATCGCCTTCACCTGTAACAAGAAGCTACTAGTAGGTAGGTCTTTCTTCGCTAGGAGCCAGAAGCCACAAGGAACAAAGGGCATCGCTAGGAAGCAAGAACGCTACTATAAAAAATAAGGTCTTTGAAGCTAGTCTCCAAAAGCGGGTGGGAGGCCATCGCTCCTCACGGAGCAAGGCCATCGCTACGGGACCTCGGGTCAGGACGGTCCGGCCGGCTGCTGAGCAAGGCGACGCAGCAGTCGGGTCGACGCGTTTGGGCACTGTGGAGGCGGGAGAAGTGACCAAAGGAATCGGTGTGTCTTTGTTGCCCGGTGAGGTAGGCCGCGGTGCGAGGTAGTAGCTAGGCTACTAGGTAGCAGGCAGTAGCTACGTAGCTACGTAGCTAGGACGCAGGATAGCTTCAACGAAGCGCTCGCAGTAATGATTTGCTTCCCAGATTTCCAGTAAAACTCACACAAGTACCGTGGTGAAGAGGTGTGCAATGCTTCGGTTGCAGCTGGTTCAGTCTCGGAGGGAATGAATTGCTGTTGTTCCCTGTCCGTGTTGACCCAAAGGATTTATGGCTGATTTGTTTCAGTTTGCTCCCGGGGAATGCGAAAGAAGAAGCCCCACGAGATCCCACGAGTGTCTGAGGGATGGTGTTGCTCCGCGGCCCCGACGAGCGGGGTTCACACCGGAAGGTTCTTGGCTGCGGGTCCCACAAACCGGGTGACATAGGTCGAGGACGAAGAATGTGCCATGACCAGTAATTCTATGAGAGATCAGTCCTTTAGTCACGAATCGTCTCCTGTCAAATCGTTCAAGAACCCAAAGACGACCGGATCTGCTTTCCGGACTCTGCCAAGTGCTTGGTCTTGGGACCAGCCCCAGCCATTTCACCTCGCTGTGTACTTCCAACCAATGGGTGAGTGGTCTCTGTTTGTTCTTCCAGAGGATTGAACTGGGAGGTCTATATACCTTTTGACATGCACCCACTATGTGATTTTCGTGTAACTGAACAGGTCCTTATCTTCCTCGAGACGTCCATTGTTCTAACCATAAACGACTGAGACACAGGAAGGTGACCCAGGGGTTGTTCTTCGGGATGACTCCTGGTGCTTCTTCTTGTGCTTGTTCGATTGGTCAATTGAAAGTTCATGCACCGCTTTTGTTTCCTTGGACGTGTGCTTTTAGCAAGCGGTCAAAAATGTGCTAGTAGGAACCCATATGGATCGAGGAAGATGAGGATGATTCAGATTCTCTCTATGTGTCAAAATAGGGTGGCTAGTTCAGAATCCATACACTTGCAATCCAACAATACAAATTCACGTTCAAGGTCACAGGACTCATGAATAGTCAGGTAACCCATTTTCAACCCAGGCCTCAAGGTGTTCATGCAGGAATTGCAGGAAACACTAGGAAAATAAGTGTTCATAGCCTAAAACTCTGGGCAGTTGTGAATCGTGTTCACTAATCCCTCAGTTGATGAACACCAAATGAAGGCCTTGAACATTGCATTGGTGAACTTTCTCATTGAGTATATAAATAGAAAAAGACTTTGAGAATGTACTGCCTGTAAATGTTTGCTGTCTGAGGGTGCTTTCCATGAGTATTTACTGGGTGATGTTTTCTTTAGCTTTCTAAGTGTTGTTTAGCTTCATTTAGTGTTACTTAGTTTTTCTTTTAGCCTTAGGGCTTTGTTTAGTTTTTGGAAAGAATAACTTAGGGCTAGATTTGTTTTGCTCAAGCTACAAAGCAGGTAGGTTTAAAGCAGGTATGAATGTGCATGAATGAGCATACCTGGATCACACGCTCTGCTTGGCAGGTCTCGGGCAGGACGGGGAAATGCTGAGAGATGGGCCTCGCTTGAGCGATAGAAGTTGAGGAAGAGAAAACGGATGCCAGGGTCGCCCCGTTCGTAGCGAACCTTGTTCCGTTCGTAGCGGTGCCAGGAGCCCCGTTCGTAGCCTCTTGTTCCTAAGGAAAGACGTGGAAAGGCGTGGAATGACCTCGGTTCAAAACGACGGTCTGCTCTCACTCCAACCAGACCATTTGTTCTCGTATTCAACCAGGCTGAAGAGATGGAAAAGTCCCGAAGAGGTGAAAAATTGCTCAGTCTTAGGATGCAGATTTACGCAACATGTCGAGCTTGCAGCCACTGCTGTGAGTGTCAGTGGACGGGTGGGAAAGAAAGATGCAAAGGTACCAAAAACGACCTGAGCTGCCTGTGGCGAAAACCTCCTGAACTTCTGCCGCGTCATGTTTTTTTGCACCTGGGCTTGTTTTTTTGCCTTGTTTTTTGCTGCGTTCAAAGATGCTTTCGACGTGAAGTGTTTGTTTTCACGAGCCAAAGTCTTAGTTTTGAAGATGTTGGGTGTGGTTCTTTTTGAAGTTATGCTTTGCTGCTCTAATTGGATGCACTCTCCGCGTGAAGAGAGCGCCCTCCAACCGGTCTTGGGCGGACACCGAGCATCCGAGAGGAAGGTGAGCCTTCGGGGTGCTCGACTCGACCCGGAAGCGCAATGGACATATCCCAGCGATGGCCTCCACCCTACGACCGCGATGGCCTCCAACCCCAAGTTGTCTCTGTTTTGGGGTGGGTATTCACATGTAAACAGTAGGCATCATGTCACTCATTCTGGGTGACCCCAAAATGTTGCGTGGCCTACCCAGGCGACGTCCAACGAACACGAACGGTGAACGTGCGGAAACGACGGAAATCCATGGAAATCCTACACCAGAAACGACGGAAACCTGCTGCAGAACTCGTGCCAATTCTCCAAAAGTGCTGCAGAACTCGTCTTCCTTGTTCCAGGACTTGCTTTGGCTGATTAGAATGTGCTTCAATGTTTGACTTTGGGTCCCAAACTAGTCGAGTCATGCATCATTCCTCCTATTTGCCTCACTAAGAAACGCCAGCACCCCTCAACATGCCCCGCAATGCCAGCACATTTAAGAGCGGGCTCCAGATGCGAAAATTGCAATTGACACAACAACAAGTGGAAACGTGTTTCACGGTGCTCAACACTTCAAACAAGACAAGACAGGACGCGATCGACACCACACGGAGTCCGTGAAGACTTCAAACAAGTCCGATTTGGAAGCAGTTTCGATGCCTTTGCACCTACCGGTGAGGGGTCCAAGCCCTGACCGCGTACCGGGTGGACCATGTGCATCTGACTGGGTCGCAGCGACGACGTCAGGGCAGGTCACATTAAATCCTGGGAGACAAACGGCGCGTCGCGCCGCGACCCGCGGGGCGACCCGCGGTCTGGTCCTGTGGCGCGAGCATCGGCGGTAGAGGGAGTTCGCAGAAAATCGCCGGCGGGCCTGTTTCGGCTGGAAGTCCGACATGTCGCACGTTCCAATCTTCACCTTTTAGGACGGAACACCGAAAATCCAAAAAAAAAAACGATTTCTTACACACCGTTTTCTGGTGTGCATTCTTTTTTATGCTTTTGTTCTCTTTCATCTTCCATTTGATAGGTTTGCTTCTTCTGTGGGTGATTGGATTGCCCCTCCAAGGGCTGATTGATGGCCGATCCCGGGAACTACGTGGGTCACCGTGGGTGAATCTGGTTCTTACGTGACCGAACTTGATCACCTGGCTGGTTCGGTCACGAACCAAGCCTCCTGGGCTTGGTCACTTCAAAGGAACCTTCAAGTTCGGTCACGAACTGAAGAAGCTGGGGGGGATTGGTTTTGTAGGTGTTCAACTGGGGGTCAGTTGAAGTCTCTTAAGTTCTACTTGAACGGAGCACAGGGGTCTTTCCCGCTCAGATCAACGGAGGTCGCCGAGATTCGTGTAGTTACGCGTTCCATCTACAGGCCAAGACGTTGCAAGTACTCTGCTAAGTGAGAAATTCAACATGTTTGCGGTGTTTGAAAGAATGAGGGCTCATGACTCATCAAGCTGATTCCACGATTTCTGCAGCTCTCTTCGAGCCAAATGGTACTTTCCGCTGGTTTTGTTGTCAGCAGCGAAAATGGTGTTCGGCGGAGACAGGTGAGCAGGCCAATGAAGATTGTGATAGTGCAGGTGTTGCAGCTAATTTGAATCTAAGGGAGCCTGAATCGGCCAGGTCAGAAGCATAACCCACACCATCCCATTCTCATCCATGGACGAAAACTCTAAAGGACATGGGCTATGCAGATGACCAGGGCTTCTTCAAGTTTGCTTGGAAGGACGCAAGAAAGTGATGTTGATGTCGAGCCTCGAACAAGAGTTTGTCATCCAGCAGCCGAACGGAAGAACATGAACATGAACATGTCATGCCCACCAAATGCATCAAAAAGGCACATCATGTTCAAAGGAACTCTATCCATGTCACTGCTTTCTTGGTCTCCACCCTTCATCAACCCGGGAAGCAGAAAGGGAGGGCAGAAAAGGATGGTGTCATGAACCTTCCTGTCCAGACCGCAGGTCTTTCTGCGGTCCGTTTCAGGTTGGCTGGTGTTTTGGTCCCTGGAAGCGCGTTCACCAGAAGAAAAAAGGCAGGTTTGGGGATTGGATATGTTGAATGGAAAAGCTGATTGCTGTTGTTTCGCAAAGTGAGCCCTCATGGCCCCATGAAGCCGTTGATGTGATGGTCCGTGATTCTTCGAATCGCTGAAAAATGGTCTGGTCCATGTTCATGTTCAAGCAAATGGGTCTGACTACAACGTGGTCGAAAACCCAGAAATGTCTCGTCGACGTGTCGAATCGCAAGGATTCGCGGCAGAAGCGGGCGTACCGTCCTGTCGCCGCGTCCGCTCCCGGTCAGGCTTTTTCGGGATACCTATCAACAAGAAACTAAGTTCTATCAAAAAAAACATTGATTCCTATCAAATAAAACATCAATTCGTATCAAAAAATACTATATGCCTCCCTTTGTCCTGGTCCTCTGGTCCCTTGGTCCTCTGGTCCCTTGGTCCTCTGGTCCTTGGGTCTGTACTTTCGAGGCAAGATGCGTTAAGGGGATTTGGAAATCTCCTGCTTGAGATCCGCAGAAATGTTGCGCCTGCCACGCAATCTGCACTTCGAGGTTCACAAAGTGCTGCCCTGCCACGAAATGTGCACTTCGAGGTTCACAAATCGTTGCGCGGCTCGCAGTGGCAGGCGCAGCTCTTATATGTTGTTTTTGATATAAATTCGTTCTCTATATGATCTATATGTTTGTTATATGTTACATGTTGTTTTTGATATTGAAATGTTCTTTTTGACAGAAATTTATGGATAGCCCAGCCCATGAAGCCAACCGTGG